GTCGGTTGAAATGCTGATCCTGGGCCGCTTGGTTATTGGCCTCTTCTGCGGCCTCTGCACAGGTTTTGTGCCCATGTACATCGGCGAGGTCTCTCCCACTGGCCTCCGGGGGGCCTTTGGCACTCTCAACCAGCTGGGCATCGTCATCGGGATCCTGGTGGCTCAGGTACTCTAGACCTCATACTGAATGCGTGTCAGTTTCTGGGCAGGAACATCTGACCTATATTCAACTATATGTCAGTTTCAGGTATTATTACTATAGCTCACAGGTGGCTAAAGAAGCAGGCAGGGTAGAGAAAGGAGAAGAAACAGAATGTGTCTTTTCCTGTGGTAAAAGAAGGGATGATTTTCTGAAAATTTTTTCTGATTTATTTTTGAGAGAGAGAGCACACGTAAGGGGAGGAGGGCTAGGGGCGGAGGAAGAAGCAGACGCCCTGCTGAGCAGAGAGCCCAGTGCAGACTGGATCCCAGGACCCTGGGATCCTGACCTGAGCCAACGGCAGATGCATAACCGACTGAGCCCCCCAGTTTTTTTAAACTGACTTGTGGCTTATATAAAGTATGAGCTTTATAAAGTATCATCTTTATCTGGTTTCTAGATCTTTGGTCTGAAAGTCATCATGGGGACTGAAGAGCTTTGGCCCCTGCTTTTGGGCTTCACCATCGTTCCAGCTGTCCTGCAAAGCGCAGCCCTTCCGTTTTGCCCCGAGAGTCCTAGATTTTTGCTCATCAACAGAAAGGAAGAGGAGAGTGCTAGGGACAGTGAGTATCCTTCACACCTTCGCTGTGGGAATTTTGGCGTTGTGGTTTGTTTCAGGATGAGGGCATTAGATCTGTGTTCTGTCCGCTCCTTTCCTGGCCCCTCTGGATCCAAGCTGGAGACTCTCCTGATTGCTCTGGAGTGAGAAACTTTCCACCCCGAAAGAGTGGAGTGAGAAGGAGGTTAAGGCACAGATGCTAATGGATGAGCCATATCCGGGGCTCATCTAAGTGTGGCTTCTTCCCAGCTGTGTTATAGGGAAAATGAAGTTGGGACAGCACCTTATCTTTCTCCTTTGTCTGTCTGTCTGTTTGACCAGTCCTCCAGCGATTGTGGGGCACCCAGGACGTGACTCAGGACATCCAGGAGATGAAAGATGAGAGCACCAGGATGGCACAAGAGAAGCAAGCCACGGTGCTGGAGCTCTTCAGGTCACGCAGCTACCAGCAGCCCATTATGATTTCCATCATGCTCCAGCTGTCCCAGCAGCTGTCTGGAATCAATGCTGTGAGTAGCTACTCTGTGTCCCAGGGGGTCCCGCACACAGTTCACGCACCTGCCTGAGGGGCCTGCTCACCTCCTTACACCTGCAGAGTCCCCACGATGCTCGCCCCGCAGCAGCCACTCCAGAAATACTGATTATCCAGGTTTTGACATGGTTTCGTATTTTAAGTTTATTTACATAATCTCTACTCGCAACCTGGGGCTCGGACTCACAACCCCAAGATCAAGAGTCGCATGCTCTTCCTACTGAGGCGGATGGGTACCCTTGTTTTTATTTCTTTAAAATTCTATCTTCAGTACATGTTTTCCATGTGGGAAAATAAGCAAATAAATGATAAAACGAAAAATTCATCACCTTTTGTCTTGGACCTTATGGTTAACATTGTCCTCTTTCAAACTTTCTTCAGTATGTAGGACACGACACATTTATCTGCTTTTCATTATTCCTCCTTCTGACCACTCATTTTTTATTTCCAGTTGTCTTTTACAAATCTGATCAGTCTTTTCTGATGTCATCAGTGATAAGGCAGGCCATACAACTAAAGTAGATCCAAGAGTTTACATGCTGTGGCTTTTTTCCAGGACTTCACAGTCTAAAAAATATCATTGTAAAGCCCTGGGGAATAAGTAGGCAATGAATTCAAGAGGTCTGACGATACACTGGGAACCTCAGATAGAGCGGGCCTTCCTAGTCTGTCTGTGTTGTTACAACCAGAATAGTGACTCTGATAGTTGGAAGTGGGGAGCAAAATGGAAGGTGACATTTGGCAGGTAGCTTGAATTCTATGCAGATATTACCTTCCAGCTTTTGGATCCTAGTGGTGGTAAGAGAGGATATTCCTATACCTTCTGTCCATTTGCAGATAAAATTTTTGGATATGAAGCATACTCTTGTTCCGATTCATGCCCAGAGGGTTTCTCATCAGTCTTTTTTTTTTTAATTTTTATTGTTATGTTAATCACCATACATCACATCATTAGTTTTGGATGTAGTGTTCCATGATTCATTGTTTGTGCATAACACCCAGTGCTCCACGCAGAACGTGCCCTCTTTAATACCCATCACCGGGCTAACCCATCCCCGCACCCCCCTCCCCTCTAGAACCCTCAGTTTGTTTCTCAGAGTCCATCGTCTCTCAAGGGTCATCTCCCCCTCCGATTTCCCCCCCTTCATTCTTCCCCTCCTGCTATCTTCTTCTTTTTTTTCTTAACATATATTGCATCGTTTGTTTCAGAGGTACAGATCTGTGATTCAACAGTCTTGCACAAATTCACAGCACTCGCCATAGCACATACCCTCCCCAAGGTCTATCACCCAGCCACCCCACCCCCCCCCCCCCCCACCACTCCAGCAACCCTCAGTTTGTTTACTGAGATTAAGAATTCCTCATATCAGTGAGGTCATATGATACATGTCTTTCTCTGATTGACTTATTTCACTCAGCATAACCCCCTCCAGTTCCATCCACGTGGTTGCAAATGGCAAGATCTCATTTCTTTTGATGGCTGCATAATATTATTCCATCATCAGTCTTGATCAATATGATTAGGTCATTTTGTAGCAAAGCATTTGCCAAACACACTTGATGCTCAAAATAGTAAGTTGGTCCTTGGCGATTTCTCCCTAACACACAAGAAGGTTATTTGTATTTGAAAAAGCAGTGCTTTTCATAAAGGGTTAGAGGCTGTGATATCAGAAATTGGGAGGAAAAATATTTTTAAAAAACCTCTGAGATGATTTTGATGGATCCCAGTTTCCAATTTTGTCATTTTAAGAATCACTGTGGAGTGCCTAGCTGGCTTATTCAATAGAGCATGCGACTCTTGATCTTGGAGTTGTGAGATCGATCCCCACATTGGGTATAGGGATTACTTAAAAATAAAAAATCTCATTTATTCATTTGAGACAGAACACGAGTGGGGGTGGGGGCAGAAGGAGAGGGAGAAGCAGACTCCTCATTGAGCAGGGAGCCCGATGTGGGGCTCTATACCAGGACCCCGGGATCATGACCTGAGCCAAAGGCAGATGCTTAACCAAATGAGCAGCCTAGGCACCCCAAAAATAATTTTAAACAAAAAAAAGCACAGCCTTATTAGTCTTATTTTATTTTATTTTATTTTTTTTTAAAATATTTTTTTATAGATTTTATTTATTTATTTGAGAGAGAATGAGAGATAGAGAGCACGAGAGGGAAGAGGGTCAGAGGGAGAAGCAGACTCCCTGCTGAGCAGGGAGCCCGATGCGGGACTCGATCCCGGGACTCCAGGATCATGGCCTGAGCCGAAGGCAGTCGCTTAACCAACTGAGCCACCCAGGCGCCCTTATTAGTCTTATTTTAGAAAACAGAAGTATCCATCATTTCTATCCGAGGTTGTAGGTATCTGAAGAGTTGTTTCTTGAGAACGTAACCCAGAGTCAACGCATATATTGATCAAAAAGTCTGATGAATACGGCTATAGAGGCAAACACTCTGGATGAAATAATAAACTCTTGACCCAAACCTGAGGAACTGAACCTAGATGATCTAGATCCTGTTCCCTTATTACCTTGAAGTCTGAGTTCAATATTTTGACATCCCTTTGACTGTGGTAGCTGTAGCAACCCTACATTTCAGCATGCTGACCAGCAAATAATAAAAAATAGTATAAACAGTAGCTTACTTGATAGTACATATTGAATTAAGATGATAGCTGCTGTCATTTCCTAGAACACTTGGAAAGGACCTGGGGCTAGGGATTCCAGCCCAAGTTCTGTTTCTAATAACATGAGCAGGCTGAGGTTCCTCCTCAGTTGGCTTCACTGTCAAAGTAGGATATCAGTGTGTGCCTATCACTGTTTTAAGGTTAGAGGAATTGTCCCTTGAAGAAGCTTAATTGAGGAACTTGCTGCTGGCTGGCTTTGTTGGAAGATCATGTGACTCTTGATCTTGGGGGGTCTTGAGTTCCAGCCCCATGTTGGGTGTAGAGATTACTTTAAAAAAAAAAAAACAAAAACAAAAAACAAAAAAACCACCACCGAACTTTAAAACAAACCGAAAAAAATCTTTATATCTAAGTTAATAGAATAGATGTAAGGAGGAGACTTCAATGAACAGGAGGAACAAACATTGAAGAAGAAGCGGAAACAGTAGGTAGAATTGAGAACTAAGAAGAGAATAGAGATAAGATAGAGAAGATTTCTTTGCAGAAAAGACACTGATTGAATCAAAAACCCAGAAAGGACTCCTTAAGCTCCTGGGACTTTGAGTGTACTTTTCCGAGGGTTCTCTTTAACTGCGGTGCCCAGCTCCTGTTTCAGAGTTGCATCATCTTTTGTTTCCTATTAGGTGTTCTATTATTCAACTGGAATCTTCAGAGATGCAGGTATTGAGGAGCCAATCTATGCCACCATCGGCACGGGTGTAGTTAATACCATCTTCACTGTTGTCTCTGTAAGTTGGATGGTGTGATAGTTTGGGGGCAGGGGGAGGGGCATTCTTCCTACACATGTTCCAAGATGGGGTTTGTGTCCTTCCATCTCCCTCCCTACCATCATTTAAACAGTTGTGGTTGTTTCGCTCTTCTTTGGGAAAGAAGAGCGATTGAATGATGGGTATGAGTAGTCTTCACTCTCTCAAGGAAATATGAAGTGGGTGGGAAAGAGAGAGGTATAAAAGGGATTTGTAGGATGCTTGAAACTCAACTAAAAGGGCACGTGTGACTCTACCAAGTATCCTGCCAATGGTACGGCACATTCCGGTAGTTCATACAGTTTTCAGGAAAGGGAAAGGAGAAATTTTATGTTATATTATTCTTCTTTTAGCTGTTTCTGGTGGAAAGGGCAGGGAGGAGGACTCTCCATATGACTGGCCTTGGAGGGATGGCTGTTTGTTCCATCTTTATGACCGTCTCATTGTTACTAAAGGTGCGTGCTCTTTGAGTAAAGGAAACGGAGGGGAAGGAGGGAGAATAGGTCACAGGTGACTCTGACGTGGGTGGGAGAGGTGAGTGGGAGACCCGTAAAGTCCCATGCCCAGAGATTTAAGAAAAATGAATCCTCAGAGATCGGTAACTAAACTGCTGTAATTCTTAACATCTGTATAACATAGAGCTTGTTAAATACCTCATGTAATTTAATTCTTCAAGTATTCTTGAGGTAATTATTCCCATTTTACAGGTGATGAAATGATCTTAGTGCAAAATGACACATGGTGTGAGCACAAGGCTAGGATTCAAAAACCCAGGCCTTTTGACTCTTAAGTCAGAGAACTCCATTGTACCCCAGACAGAGGGAGCTTTCGTTATCAGTCAGTCCTCATCGCTGGGAGGCTAGGTCTATCCAGGTCAAGCTGTCTTGACTACTAACTTTCCTTTGTTCCTCCTCATTTAGGATAACTATAATTGGATGAGCTTTTTTTGCATTGGGGCTACCCTGGTCTTTGTGGCCTTCTTTGAAATTGGCCCAGGCCCCATTCCCTGGTTTATCGTGGCCGAACTCTTCAGCCAAGGACCCCGCCCGGCCGCGATGGCAGTGGCTGGTTGTTCCAACTGGACCTCCAACTTCCTGGTTGGGCTCCTGTTCCCTTCAGCTGCAGTAAGTAAATTCAAACAAAACTCACCAAGTCCATCTCAAAACCAGCTCACTTAAGCCGACAGGTTTAAAATTTGGTAACTGACACCACAGAGGGTTAGATATCAAGTGGAGTTTGTTTTTGTGGGTTTTTTTTTTTTTAAACATTTTACTTACTTTAGAGAGAGAGATTGAATGTGACAGGGGGAGGAGCAGAGGGAGAGGGAGAGAGAGAATCTCAAGCAGACACTGCGCTAAGCACGGAACCTGACCCACGGCTTGATCTCCTGAGCCAAAACCAAGAGTCGGACGCTCAACCAACAGCACCCCAGGCACCCCAGATATCAAGTGTTTTTTTTTTTTTAAGATTTTATTTATTTATTTGGCAAAAAGACAGAGACCGAGAGTGTGCAACCACAAGTAGGCAGAGCAGCAGGCAGGAGATGGAGAAGCAGGCTCCCCGGTGAGCAGAGAGCTGGATGAGGGGCTCGATCCCAGGACCCTGGGATCATTACCCAAGCCGAAGGCAGACGCTCAAGCATCTGAAGCACCCAGGCACCCCCCCCCCAGATATCTAGTGTTTTAAACCAGATTTTTTTTTATTTTCAGTGGCTTATAGGAAAAGAAGGAATGGTAGCAAAAAAAAGATTGAAGCAGGAGGGCAAAACTGGGAACTTTTATTTTTTTAAAGTAAACTCTACCCCCAACAGGGGGCTCAAACTCAAGACCTGGAGGAGATGAGAGGTCGCATGTTCTACTGACTGAGGCAGCCGGGTACCCCAAAACTGGGAACTTTTAAAAGACCACTGGTCTGGGCGCCTGGGTGGCTCAGTTGGTTAAGCGACTACCTTCGGCTCAGAACATGATCCTGGAGTCCCGGGATCGAGTCCTACATCGGGCTCCCTGCTCAGCGGGGAGTCTGCTTCTCCCTCTGACCCTCTTCCCTCTCGTGCTCTCTATCTCTCATTCTCTCTCTGTCTCAAATAAATAAATAAAATCTTAAAAAAAAAAAAATACCGAGGAAGACTACATGTTCTTGTTAAATGTGGAAGGGTTGTGTCCCGAAGCCTACTAGAAATGGATGGGAAGGGAAGGGGTTTGGCAATGACCAGAATTTACACTGACACTCCTTTTCCTTTATCTCTTCACTAGTTCTATTTAGGAGCCTATGTTTTTATCATCTTCACTGGCTTCCTCATTCTCTTCTTGGTGTTCACCTTCTTCAAAGTCCCTGAGACTCGTGGCAGGACTTTTGAGGAAATCACACGAGCCTTCGAGGGGCAGGCTCGGGAGGCTAACAGAGCTGAGAAAGGCCCCATCGTGGAGATGAACAGCATCCAGCCCACGAAGGAAACTGCCACCGTCTAAGCCATGCCTCCTTCCCGCCTCCCTCCCAACATGGAAAAGCAACCTCTCCCCAGATGAGGGAGGGACCTCATCAGCTTGTAACCCAGGACTGTTTCTGAATGCTGCTACTTGATTCCTTTCTCATCCCACAGAGGAACCCAGTGCAGGAGTTAGTTGTATCTTCAATGGCTTTCGAAACATTTCATTTCTTGGACATTCTCTTCTGTTTAGGAGAGACCAAGCAAACCTACCTTCATTTCAGGAGGCATTGGCCACTTGCCATCTGACAGCATTGTCGTCTCTTCCTGCCTTGGGTTCTAATAGGGCCTCACCAGGGCCAGTAGGGGGGGGAGTAAGAGTGAGGTGCAGTTTCCCCGACCCCCGACTTCCCAGGAAGCAGATCTATGAGTGTGGAGGGCAGAGAGGGATTACGTAAGAGCACCTCCCTCGCTTCCATACAGCTCTGTAGAGCAAATTAACTTGAGTTTTATTTATTTTATCTTCTGGTTTTATTGCATAAATATTTATTTTTCTAAGTGTAAAATAATTTTACCAAATAAAACAAGGAAAATGAGGATGGAGGGAGGCGCTTGAAGAGAGGTTCTAGGGTAGAAGATTTGATACTGGAGCGGTCGAGGTGCAATAAGGGGAAGATTCAGGGAGAAGTATAACGTGTTCTCAGAGGGTACATGATGGGGTGTGTGAAGTTTGCACATTGCCTCTTAACCTTCAGGTGGAAACTCTCAAGTTTAATTTCTCAGAAAAGTGATGTGCCTGTTTTAAGAAGCTACTGGTTACCTTTAGAACTTTTTTCTTTGCTTAAAATAATACGTAGTGTTACTTGAAATCTAGGGTTATTAAGATGGGCATTATAGCTAATGGTGGTGGATGGGTTCTAATTTTGGTTGGAGTCCAGAGAAGGGAAGGTTATTTCTAGATATCCTTT